TCCTTTTGTCTGTGCTTTTCCTTTCACGCAACATACATTCTCAGAAATTACCAAGGAAAACAAGATATTTAACCAATAAATTTAATCATAAATATCATAAAAGCCTTTTTATACATGCACTTCGAAAGTACTCTAATTTAAAAGGTTACCACAAACTTCTAATTGAGTTTCAAAGAGGTTTTGTTCAATGCATTATTGGAGAATTTAAAAGTATTAAAGAGATTATGAACAACTGAATTTTTTTCTGGATTCAGTTCACATGCATAGATACAATAAAGACTTGTTGATAAAATCCTCATTATTGCCTATTTAGAGGACATGAGTGAAGCCACCACCGGGATCCATTACACTCCCTCTGCAATGGCGGTTTTAAGACCATTGCATTTGTTTGTGCACCACTTCCTGGAGCTATTTTTCCATACACAGTGATGGACCACCTACAAACCAAGCCCAGAAATCAAAGAGTTGATGCTAAGAGATTCATGTATAAATATGTGACTGTAATTAAAAAGCAGCATATGTAATCAAACAGGACAAGAGCTATAGTGTGATTCAACAAGAAGCAAGCTGCTACACTTTGGAAGTCAGACAAGGCAGGAAAGGATTAAGACGGGAGGCAGCATGGTTTTTCACACAAAAAGGAAGAGTCCATCTGACCCACAGCCCCTGTCAGGGCATTCCCGGTGGAGATCTTTACATAAATGCTGAACAGCAGATAAGGTGATGCTCTCCATAAGCTGCACATAATCCTGGGAATTCTGCTACTGTGGGAAAATGGGCGATTCTAGAAAAAGAGTAGATGCCAAGCTAGGATCTGCCAAGGTAGCCACTGGCATATCAGTAACATAACCATAATAGGTCACTCCAGGGACTTTACATCCTCTTTTCCCACACACATCTTCAGACATTCCATGTAGAATGCTAGATCAAAGGTGCTAGACCCTAGCAAATAGGAAGGAATTAACCTTAAGTGCTGGCTGAGGGAGGAACATTTCATAGGCTTCTTGTCATCATGCCTTCTTACCCTGCAGGCATGTAGATTTAATTCATCTAAAATGTCTTTACAGCTCACATTGCATACATGATCAATTCAGTTAAGTTATCCATGCAATTACTCACAATATTGTCAAAATATTTTATTCATGAATTTTGGCATTTGAACTGTGAATTGAATTAATGTAGGAAATACTACAATTTTATATTTACTTAAGTTTCATATCACAAATATAACTATAGAGAATCTACACTCTATATAACCAGAACCACCATCTTGCCCACTAGGTGATTCTGGCATACATTCCAAAGTCAGGAGGATCAGTACAAGGATATAGCTCAGCGGCATAGCATAGCACTTGCCTGGCAAGCATGAGGTCCTGCGTTTCATTCCCGGTAACATAAAAAAAATTTTAAAAGTCAGCAGTATAAACAAAGTGGCTGAGATAGCCAAGTATTTTGTTCTGGACACTGATATCTGGACTCTCGTAACTGACGTTGGACATAATAATAGTTTTGAGAAATGCAAAATACATTCCAGCTGACCACAGGCCAACCTTTTCTAGCTTAGTATAAAATCCATTCTTCTAGGCTAGTGGTACAGGGACCTTTCCACCATGCAACCATCCAAGGCACCCTTCTATTTGTGCATCCCTAATAAAATGCAATCCCGGATTTGTCTACCTTTTTATTTTTGTTTGAGTTTCTCATCTTTTGCCAGCCAAGTCTTTCCCAAAAGAGCAGCTGTAACAGTTTGTACCTTTATTGAAGTTATTTATTAGTTTAATCAGCTAGTATTTGCTACATGTCCACCATGGGTATTGGCATGGGTGCATGTCTTCTGTATACAAAAACAAATGAAATAAGTTCCTGACCTCAAGGGACTAATTGTCTGGTGGAGAGGCAGGCTCCAAAGCAAAGAACCACGACATAAATCTGAGCTTAACATGCCCAGAGAAGAGATTGGAGGAAATGTTATTCAGAAAGAAACTGACAAAAACATTTTATTACAGTGACATTTCATTCAGTATTTAGTGCTTCAAGTTTGTTCAGGCATTAAATGATTCTTATAGAAAATCCATGTAAGGGAATACAAAAGCCCAAGACAGCCACAATTATGGTCCAGGATGTGAAGCAGGAATATTTATAAAAGTCGTGGTCAGCAAGAATCCAGAGTAGCTGCACCTGATGATGTCCAGTGAATAATTTATTTAATCAAGGTCAGTACTGAAACATGGTCACTAATGTATATTTTGGCATAAATGTAGACTGCAACAAGGTATAGGGCACTCAGTGACCGAGGATTATGGAGAATATGCGGATAGACCCTAAAAAGCAGCCAGGCTGGGAGCTGCAAGAGTGGCTGGACAGGTAAGGTGAGTTGGCTAATAGCTGAGAGAATACTTTTCTATAGCTCTGCATCTCATCTGTGAGCCACCTGAATTTCCAGTATAAACTGGTGATGAGACAAAGCAGACCCGTGGGACCCATGAAATTAAAGGATGCATGATATAAACTTTGCAAAACATTTACCTTTATATATACATGCTATTTAATGTATTTAATGAAATTGATATATTGATATATTGATAAAAAAGTTTTAATTGGTCATGAGTTTTTACTATTTAGTTTTTTGCCCAGAAAATCTAACTGAACTATACTTAAATATTAATAAACTTACATGGTTATGGATCAAATTGAACTATACTTACATGTTAATATATTTTAAAAGTTATATATAGGGGTACATTTTTTTAAAAAGTTTGAATGGACAGACTTGGAAATTCTTCACAGAGAAAATGAGCAGCGATATTCAGGTCTTCTTCACATAAGTGAAAATCTGGAGTTACAGCTGATCTCTGCTTGTGAGTCTAACCAAGGCCAAGTCTTCTTCCCATTTGTTACTTAGCCACATTATCAATCTCTGCAATTTTACAAATGCTTTAACTGGAAAAGTCACAATTTCAATCTTAATGCAAGTTTATCCCTTATTCACTTCGAAAACCACTGTCATTTGGAAGAAAATATCTTTTCATAGCACATGGCTCCTTCGATCTTGTGGACAGACCATTTTCTGGCCCTAACAAGTCTAATTCTTCAACTGAGAGGTGGACAACATGATACAGCTGCAAGAAAAGTCTTTGAATAGCACTTGTCACTTCTGGGAAGCTTGTGCCTGCTGAAAAATACTCAATTGGTCACAGCAAACGGTCACACATCAAATTGTTCTGATTGTGAGATGCATATGAAGAGAAAATAGGATGGTAATCAATTAGATTAAGTCACACAATGACCCACATCTTTTTCTCATAGCAATCACTAATCATAATTTATACCTGATGTTTAAAGACTACTCAAATACAATCATTTAATTATATTTATACTCAATATATAAAGACAATTACTTGTATAAAAGGAAAACAAGAATTCTTTTGGATACTCACAATCTTATTTTTCTTTATTAATTTTAGTAATCAAAGGGAACATGCATACTTTTGGAAGACAGTACATTTTAATGTAAAGATAATTGAATTTTTAGGCCACAATTCAAGGCCTGGCTTTGCCATTGCAGCAGTCCCTGCAGCTTGGTCTCTCGTCTCCATCCCAGATCCCTTTTCCTCTAAAGTAAATGCAGAAAAGGTAAAATCTAACCTTCCAGAGCTCATCTGAGACTCAGTTTCAACTGGATGCAATCAACACCAATGAAATCTATAGCAAAATCTGGAGAGTTCAGCAAAAGCCTTTTTTCTTTCTGCAACTGATATTGCTATTTTTCAATAGTTTTATTTCTTTTTATGTGCCAGAAATGCAAACATAATGGCTTCACACATACTAGCTCTTTGTCACATAAAGGTAAAGAAAACAGTCCTGCAAGGAAAGATCAATAATTTAATGTTTATGACTATAGAACTATCTCTGTTGCAATATTAAGCTAAACTTACATAAAATGAGCAAATATCTTAAACTCTAAACAGATGCCTTATTACTGTTTCTAACACTGAATTATCACTATCAGCTCTGTGTATAGGAAGACTGTCTCAATAATAAATCCCAGTCCAATTTATGCTAAAAGGAAACAGAGCTGGTGATGTAACCCCATGATAGAACTCTAGTCTATCATGTGTAAGGCCCTAGATTCAATTCTTAGCACTGGAAAAAATACACATTATTTTCTTTTTCTCTGTATTAAAATTATTTGAGGATGAAATATACTAAGTCACCTCGAGTTAGAGGGGAACATGAAATTCATGCATGTGCTGTATGTACTGTATCTGTACTATTATAGCATGAAACATTAAAGACATGATCTTTTTAATTTTTCCATTAAAATAAATGCAATGAAATTTTGAAGACTAGCAACAGATATAATTTACCTTCTTATTTTTAAAATACCTTCCTATATATTTTTAAAATATATAGTTTTAAAATATTTTAAAAATAATAATCTTGTTGAAATTACATTTCCTCAACTAGATTTTGTTAGCTAAAAAATCAATTCTAAATCACTTTGGCATCACTAATGACCTGAAAATTCAAGAAATATTGAGGTCTTCATTGCCATGAATCTATGAACAATTTTTTTAAAGTAGAAATTCTCAAATAGCTAATTTCTTAGAAGAAAAAATTCAGAAGAAAGTGTTATCTAAGATTTTTGGAGTACAAATTAGCAATATACTAGTGTATGGCAGAAGCAGTGGAGAGTTGGAGAAAAAGAAAAACATATTTAATCTTTGATATTGTCCTTTCATATTTGACAGAATCTAAATATTAAGGAAATAATCCTTCTTAACTATTTAACATTTCCAAACTCTCAGGAATACTCTTTTTGCTTCAGGGTATAATTCAGCAAGAAACTTATATGGGTTTATCACTATCCACATGACTATCTTCTTCCATAATCTGCTTCTTCCAATCGTTAGGTAAGCAATTAAAATTTTTGTATTAAAATGTTTATGTTCCATATCTCTTTCATTTTTAGATGATGGAATTATGTAGATTTTTGTTCTTAAAATATGAAATGTCTCAAAAATTTGAGTGTCATTCTTGTTCAGGGACCATGCTAACCTTTTACTGTTCCATTTTTAGTATATGTCCTGCTGAAGCAAGCACCTTAATTCTTTTCCAAAAACAACTTATAAAACTATCTAGAGTGTGGTAAAGAATCCATAAATACCCACTTGTGAAAAATTGGCCATTATGTCATTCCAAGCTTAAATTATTGAACGTATGTATTTATTTCTAGTATCATTGCCTATAACTTACCCCTTTCCCATTACTGATATCCACTGAGTTATCGATGCTGTTAACAAGGCAGAGAACAAGGAGGTCCCTGCTCCCTTGAATCTGCCATTACACTTTCATTTGAAGCATCCAGTCCCTGGAATAAAATGTGCCCTTCTCACTTTCCTCTTCTCAGTCACCTTAAAGACAGAAGACTCATCCTTCACAGGAGATAAAAAAAAAAAAAAGACTGGCCTTTAAAAACCGCAAGCAGCTTTGTAAATGCTAGAGTTCCCGAAGCCCAGCCTCTAATAGTGAATATGTGCTGTTATCTCTATCTAGATAAAAGGATTAAGTCATCCCCTTCCCCTTTCTAGCACCCTTTACACAATCACACACTTAACACTCTGTTAAGATCACAGGCTTCAGACTCAGAAACCTTCTAATCTTGCTGCTAACTTAAACAACTCATTTAACATTCTGAGTCTCAATTTTTATCATGAAGCCAAGACAATGTATTTTATAGGGATCCAGAAACTTTTAAAAGAAAACTGAAATCGTATGTATCAAAAATGTTGTGGACTGAAAAGTTTAATTCAGAATTAATTTTCCCCTTAAATAAGATCATACCATTTGGCTAAGAGGGCATGAAGAGAAGGAAAAATATGATACTAATAGACATGATGGATAGAATAAAAAATGAATCAAAACACTGGAGCAGAGGTTACACTACTTCCTTTGAATCTGCAAAGAAAATGATGAGCTTCATTATGATGTGGCAGAATATTATTAAACCCGTCAGAGTACAGTCATTCTGGAATTATTTCTACTCCCTGTTTCAATTGATCATTGGTGACTTAGAAAGTAAATAAAGTGACCATGTCATGAACAACAATAACAATACAACAAAAACGTAGATTTGCATAAGTGCTTGTTTTATGAAATTTTCTAGCATGCTTTTGCCATGATCACACTGACCCGTATCCATTCATCTTTGCATTCCCAATTATAATGATTTCATGTGTATTAAAAGGAAGACTTTATGTTAATATAAACAGAAAAGGAAAGGGATTCAAAAAAGAGATCTCAACACTTTTAAACATATCTCTGCACAGTCCTATCTCACCAAGATATCATCATTTGCTTGGTCAGTAATAGTAGGGAGACTAAGTGCTAATAGTTCTTAAAAAATGGGTCCTCTTGGTTTGGGTGGAAGTTTATTCTAATAGTTGAGTATTAAGATCTTTTAAAGATAATTCATAAGTAAATGCTGAGTAGACATTTCATATTTTGATTTAATGTAATTTTGAGGTTCCCAAAGTACTATAAACTTGAAAACATACTTATTTCCAAAACATCAGAATATCATTCAAATTTAAAAGAATGAGGACAAAACGTTCACTGTGAAGAAAAGGGAAGTGAATAAATATGAATATACAAAAGGGGATTGGTAATTGATCTTCAGAAGAAATCAATAACAACAAAGAGGTTGTGTGAATGTGGGGAAATGGGTACATAAATTCCTTTACAAATACCACATGCTGCATAAAAAACAATCATAGAAATTCTTAGGTCTTCACATATAATAGCAATTAATGTAATATTTTTTCTGTCTGACAACTACCTTAGTGGTAAAGCAACTGAAGAAGGAAAAAGTTTGATAAAGACTGTAACGGGGTGTGGAAAAAGAGCTTCAAGCAGGACAAAAAAGCCATGTGAAAGCACTAACTCCTTGAACTGTAACTGCTAGAAGCATGAAGACACAAACCCGGTAAACGCATCCTCGTATCTCCATGATAACTTGACCTCATATATTATCCACAGCTCATAATAGTGCAACTTTATTTTATTTTTAATTTTTACCAATATAGCCAAGACAAATATAGTGTATCTGTAACAACTTTCATGGAAATAGCCAAAGTAAACATTGAACATGAATATAATCTATAAAAGCACAAGTGTAGTGAACTCAGGATCACATGTTTTCCCCTACAGTTCCATAGCAAGAAGTCCGCAAGTCTGGAAGCCACTGGACCTGTAGGGGCAAGTCTTCACACACAAGTCTGCAGCAGGAGCATTCCTCTGACTTCAATGCTTTCACTTGGAGTGGAAAACTCTAATATACAGGCAACAGAAAATGAGTAACATAAAGAGAGATCAAGATGTGATATTACGCTTCAAAGCATGGGGAAACATAAGTAAACTCACATATTTCAGGACTTGATATTGGTTTCCAATTCAGTGCTCACCATCCAGATGAGTTTTCTTTGAAGGCCTTCAGTAATGGAACCAAATAAAATATTTCTCTAGGACATCTCTGTAGAATTTAGATCTATGCAATATCAGATGGAGTGGATGAATCGATCTTCTTTTGATACAACTCAATAATTTGAACCACTTATGAAGTATAACCAGAATAGCTCTTGCAGATAACCAGAGTAGCTCAAAAGTCTATCAGCTTGGGAGAGGTCAAATATATAACACCCAACAACAAAGATACGAAGAAAAATCACAGTGAAATAAGAGAGAGAATAGAATCCCAAAGACCACAGACAGTGTGAAACTTATTTTATTTTAATAAAACTTTTTAGTGGAAAGAGGTAAGCATATTGAGCTCAGAGGTAAGTTCTTATTCAAATTCAGATAAAGCCAGTGTAAAAGAAACTGCCTTAGCTTCTTTATTATAAAGAATTTCTTCTATATATTACAATAAATTAATAACAGACCAAACTTGTTTTCAAATCTTTCAAGTCTGAGGAGAGGCCCTAAATTATGATAGGAAGATGTATCTATTGACCAGCAGTGAGTTAGCTTTTGAGAGGCAGAACTAGAGGCAAAACTATGGTCATCAGCCAAAACCTAGAGGGTTGAAAAGAAACACTAGAGGAAAAATGGCAGAATGAGAACCCATTTTCCATTGTGAAGTCATGCTTTACAGTCAGATAGAGACTGGAGACAGGGAATAGAGAATGGGAAAACACAGGACTGGTCCAAGGAAATCACCTAACAGCTTCTCCCATGTTCTTTTCCAGTTCATAAGTAAATGCTTAGTAAAAAGGATTAGAGTCATTACAGGTGCAGTTTCCAAACTGCTGATCTATCTCAGGGGCTACAGTTTAATAACCAACAACCTAGCTTTAGTGTTAGACATGACTTTAATTCTCTTCAAAACTTACTGCTTTACTTTCTGAGTGTCAGTTTCTTTATTGATTAAAGAAAGTAATACCAATTTGCCCTCTTTCCATTGTAAGGATTAACTGAGAAAATAATATGCTGAGCAAAAACTCTGATACAGTTGTATAATTATATTTTGTTTTGTCAAACATATCTGAATGGATATTCAGTATTAACTAATAAATTCTAGTTAAACACCACTAAATTATTTATGATTATTAGATTACCAACACAAGATTTGAGAAGAATAAAATAAAAAGGCCATTACTGATTGGTAAGCAGATACAAAATAAAGAAAAATACTAGCGTACTGGGTAACTTTCCATGGTAGGATTTTATCCTGCTAAATTATCTTCATGCTAAACTTATATGAGAACTAATTTTTGCAAATGATTATAATCTCTCTATAATACAATATTAGTTAGTGACATAAATTGCAACAGACACTTATGGAACAGATAGGAGAAATGTGCTATTTGAAGGTTCCTCATAGGGTATTTAACTGTGAAGACTGCTGCTTTCCCTACCAAGAGGTAAAAAACAAGCTGCCATGGTACAAGGGTAGACCCAAGGGATAAAAGCTGTTCTCAACTTTCAACATAAAAAGGGGCTTAAATCATGTATCAAAAGGTTTCACCTTTGTGCTGTGAGGTTGATAATACAGTTTCTAGATTTTTGCAAAAAATCTTTAAACAAAATTTAATTCTAACATTCCATGGCTATCTCTAGCACATATAAGTTTCAATAAGCATGTTAATTTGAAATTACTACTTACTCATTTAATTAATATTTATTGATCGTTTTTTCAATGTGATAATATTCTAAATACTGAGCTAGAAATACAGGTCAGTATATTTTGAAACATGTTTATGCAATTATACCTACACATGGGTATTTAATGGATAATGCAAAGTAATCTTAAAATAGATCTGCATGTACATTTATAAAACATGTCTATCTCTTAATTAAATAATTAAATTTTCATAGTGAATTTCTCCCAACATGCTCAACCTCTTCATGGCTCACTGGTTTAGATTCTTTTGGCATGTCAATAACAAGTGACACCCCTAAGCAAGTGAACTGTGCTTTAACTTGTACAGGATATCATACCTTGCTCATTTGTGGTCTAAAGGAGAGAAGGGATTTATTCAGATGAATCACTTTGGTGAATCTGCAATATATTATTCATTGCTCTATTCTTCAAAATCATATTGGATAGGCCATGTAAGTAAAATAGAACCTCACAACAATCACAGAAAACTCTATACTGACAAGGACAAATGAATGTTAAATAGTGTCAAAGAAATGCTAATTACATTCTCAGGTTCTCAGAAAGTCATGTGTCACACTGCATGGGAACCTGATGCAAAGGAGCATAGCAAGCTGAGAACCTTCAACTGCAGCACTTATAGAGTCCAACATTTGGTTCTACTAGAGCCAATCCTAGAATACACTGAGCCTAATGATAACATGAGGACATGGGCTAATTTTGCATAATGTCTATTCATCCCCTGGCAATTTACGGAGGAGGTGACTGAAACTCTGAGCAGCATCACAGTCAGAGATTTCCTCTTCTGAATGCTTCTTTTCTCCCTCCCCTCCTAAGTGTCAGATCTGTATCTAAATTGTATTCCTCACCTTCTCTTGCTTTTTCCTCCTGTTATATTTCACAAGTGCCATTCTCCATTAAATCCCATGTAATTTAAATTCCATTT